TAATTAAATTAATATTAACCTTCACGACTAGTTTTTGTTGCACGGATTAACGATGGATGATGTGATAATTGCTGAAGTTTACAAAATGGTGGTAATTTTCAAATTCGTAAACTAAAGTCAGATAATGAAGAACCTGAAGAAGAAACCACATTGAATTTGGCCCTTCTAATGGATTAGAGGTATGAGCTATTGATTTCTTTTTACAAGGGATGCTTGATAATTACTGATGGTTAAAATAATTATATAGATTTTTTTTGATACCAAGGAGCTAAACAAACAAAAAGTATACTATGTTCCATATGCCAAAAATTTTGCAGCTATTGATTCAATTCAATTATTCAATAATGGTCCTGACCATTTGTACCAGTCCACTGTATCTAATCATCACAATGTGAAGAACTCTGTTGGCTCTGTCATTCGCCTCAACAAACAAATAGATTTCTATTTTGTTGTACCAAAGGATGTCTTTCCACGTTTCAAGTATAATCAGAAATTTCTTAATGGAGAAGGTAAACCATATCGCAACCAACCTGAGTGGATGCGCAACATTACACAATTTGCCCTAGAGATAGATTGGGATGCATATATTGCTTTGGGTGAAAATGATGAATAGATTAGTTTTTGTTTTCATAGATAATTTGTATTATGAAAGCTAAGGGCATTAGTTGCTATTGATATCTATTTTTTTTACTATATAATGTTCTTAGAAGTGTGTTACATTTTCTGAAATCTAGGGTTGCTAAATAGCAAAACCAAAACTTGCTGAAAAAAAAAATATATCAAAATAATGATTTGAATTTTATTTGTATATCAATATTAATTATTATATTAATATCAATTGAGTGCTGACTGTATATTGTACCAATTTCTTAAATAGGAATGAACATTGATACATTTAAAAAAAAATTTTTTAAAGGAAAAAATGAGTGCTATGACAAGTTATTCAATTCATTAAATGAATCAATTAGTAGGAAGAAGTACCAATAGAATAACTCAATCAGTTATATTTTTACCAGCTGAAATGAGTTATAAATCAGTGTATAGAGATTTTCTAGCTGATCTGGAAGAAGATAACAAATTGAAATCCTTAAAATATGATGCCTTCAGAAAACTATGACATCAATTAACACCAGAAATTCAAATTATGAGTCCAAGAACTGACTTGTGTGAACTATTTGGTTTTATTTATATTTAGTAATTTGTGGCTATTATGAAAGTATTGAATTGAATTTCATGACTCCAGGACATACTAAATTTAAATGTGACGGTAGTTTTAGTTTGATTAAGAAACTCTATTGAAAAACAAGAGTAGATTGTGTAGATCATGTGTTTGAAGTGGTAAAAAAGTCTAGTCCGGTAGGATTAAATAAATCTCAATGTTATGAAGGTGGAAAGGGTTTTCAATACTTAGGTATCAAATCTATTTTAGGAATTTATTTTAAAAAATTAAATGACCTACAAAAATATCAACATTTTCTTTTTGAAGCATCTAATCTTGGTACAGTGAAAGTTCAAAAAGTTGCTAATGGTTCTTTTGTTGAATTTAATTTATTAAAAATTAGGAGAACAAATACTTTTGAAGAAATTAGAGCTTTATCTATTTTAGTGTTAATACCATCTCCTTTAGATTGCAAAAGACAAGAAGACTTTTATAATAATATTTGCCCATTTGTGAAAGATGAATACAAAGATATTACTTGCCTCAAGCAAGCATAAAATGTAATTGAATAATTTTTATACTAAATAAAAAGGTGTTAGATGTCATAATTAACTTTTATTCTTCCCAATCTTAATTATTTTGATAACTAAAATAACTAGAAGACACAATAGTATTCCACAACCAATCATTCAGTGAGCTTTCTCTCTTTTATTCTTATTAAGTTGGTTTTCTAATTGAGCTCTGGGAGTTTTATTCCACTTTCAATAATAAGCCTCTGGATCTCTTCCTAAAAATTGATTGTTTTTTTGGGGTCTGAATTGCCTTCACCATTTTTGCAATGTGAATCTAGGAAAAAATAATATTAAAAATTCAGAAACAGGGTAAGTTTCACTATATATAACTTGAAGGAATTTCTGCTTCTTTTCTTCATAATTGTGGGGCTTTTCCTTAAGTTCACCAGCAAATGATGTGGATTTCATTTTTTGTATAAGTTCTTGGCAGACTTCTCCAATTTGGTCTCAGGTTTCTTGGTCAACAGCATTGACATTGTTAGGTAAATGATTTTAGTAGAAATGGTTATATTTCCTATTCCAGTGTGTAATCTGGCAACAATTTTATTTTTTCCTGCAACAACAGTATTTTATTTGTTAATAGGAAAAGTTTTTCTGCATCCTCAGCTACTTTTGGGGGAAAACTTTTCCTCAATATGCTTTTGATTCCTACACTTCCATAGCCTTCTTTGTATTTAGGAACCACCCGCATATAAAAATGGCAGCCCATTGTATTATTTATATATTTTGCGTCGTATCACACAAAGAAGATAGAAAAGGAAAGATGCATATGACCAATACCGCCTGTTAGAAGTGGTTATATTTATCTACCACCACTGCTTCCATCATTACCATTTCTCCTCAATATCTACCTACATTTCCTCAATTTGGAATTAACTCAATTACTTTGGCTTTAATGTAAAATGTAATACATCATCAACTGTCTCTAGGATGCGAATAGAAACATATTTCAAATAATTGAAGGGGCAAGTTAAAAAAATTTTTTTTTTGATAAAAGGTAAATTGAAGATACAACTTTATTTAAGATTTTGGGATGGGGGGTTTTTGGATAGGAAATTATGATTGGCTAATTTGAATTTAATTGCAAATTCATTTCACGCACAATAGAATCAAAGAAAAATCGCCGATCAATTATTTCTCTCGTAGCAGATATGTATGGCCATGAAAAAGATTAATCTTTATTTTTATATTTTCATAGGAACTTTATAGACGTTCATGTCAAACCGGCAAAGTATTGTTAGTAATTAATCAATTTGTAAAAATTTGATTTATTTAACTATAATTTATATATATATATAAAACAATATTTACAAATAAAGTTTTGAAAATAAGCTAATATCGATCAAGCAATTATAAAATATTATTCTATTTCTATAAACTCTGGACTGATATTAATTTGAAGATATATTATTAATGTGTATATAGATTATTAAATTTGCAATAAAATGTTACCTTTAATGACTTGTGTTATTAGTAGTAGTATTAATTGTGTTTTATTAATCAACTACTATTTTTTTTTACTGCCACTTCTTTATTATTCTGAACCCTTGCAGACCTTCTAGTGTTATATGATGATGATGATGATGATGATGATGATGATGATGATTTTGCAGATGTAGAAGTGTCGTTATTTTTTTGTCGCTTAACAGCTTTATTTTGGTTGTTGTTTACTTGATTATCATTATCATTATTTCTTGTTCTTTTCCTGGTAGTTCTACCATCTCCACTACCACCATCATTATGATTATTTATTACAATATTATTTTGAACTGATTGATTTGTCATTTCCTTCACTTTCTCCTTTCCCTTCTTCCCCTTTATCTTAATATCATCTTTTCTTTTTGTTATACCATTACTACTACCAGCACTGTTAACACTAGTCTCATCTTCTTCATTCATTTTTCTCTTACCCCTTTTGTTGTTGTTATTACTATTATTATTGCTATTAACAATAATATTATTGTTGTTGTTATTATTACGTTTAATAATAGTATAGGCAGTGCCTGACGGCAAATATTCCAATGCTTGATTTATAGCTCCAACCAAACTACTTTTCTTTTTGGTTTGTTTTAATTTGTCATTTGCTTCTTTTTTTGTGAATGGTTTAAGATTCTTTTCAATGATCCAACCGCTATTATTATTATATACATACATACATACATATATATACACATATAATAAATTAATTATTGATATTGGAATTTATCATTATTAAAAATAATAAAATCAAGAAAGATATCTATTAACATACTAATTTGTTGAACCAAAAAATTTTACACATATGTAATCTTGACCATCAGGTCTCTGTTTAAGAATATTTTCTGGCAGCTCATCTTCTTTTTCAACCTATATGACGCATAAAAATAAAAATTTATGTGTGTTGGTCATTTGTTACTTTACATCTTATGTATAACTCTCTTTTTTATTGATAATACTTACCAACCCAGGCCACCAGGGAAATCCTTTTAATTTAGCAAAAACAATGTTACCTACTTCAAATGCCATTTATATATATATATAGGTGTGTGAGTGTGTGTGCGTGTGTGCGAGTATGAATAACACAAACTTAGATTGAATGCTAACAACTTGATTAAGATATTTTAGGAAATTTGTTGTAACTAGTATTAAGTAAGATTAAAGTTAATAATAATTTTGTTCGACATGAATATTCTTAAAGAGAGAATTATTTGTTGAAGATATTCTGTGATTGATTCTTAAATAATAAATATTAATATATATATTTGATTGATAAAAACCAGCCAGATAAAGCGATTTATGTGGCACAAAGTGATAGCATTGTTAAATGTCACAATTGCAGTAATGTGGTTGTGATGTTAGTGTTTTTTCTCGAGTAATAAAATAGTAAACAAACAACAAGGTTTGATTTTTCACCAGTTATAATCTTCAGATCCTCAGATCATCCCAAAAATGTTGCAAATCTTCAAGCGTTGATACTTTCTATATGCACAATATTCTAGAAAATAATGTAATCTTACTACAGTGCAGACCGTTTATACTCAGTCGAAAAACTTGAAAAACATCATGATCAGCCAGGGTGCGAAATGTGCAAAAATACCGAGGGAATGCCTGTTTTTGGAAAATCTTTATTATCATCGGACCAAAGAACCTAAATAAAAATAAAAATATTCTTTCATAATATCTTTATTCGATTTTGGTTTTTGGTTTTAGCCCTTCACCTCAAAAAAAAATCAAAAAAAAAATAATAATAATAAGCATTTACTTTAATTGAAAAAAAACAGTATATTAATCCACACTTACAGTCAAGCCTCTTTTCAGCGAATTATAATTAAATTCACGTTACAACTAATTTTAAAAAGCTTCATATGTAAAACCATCTAAAATTCGTTGAAACGCGGTTAGTAATTTTGGTATAAACAAACTACTAATAAGAATATGTCAAAAGAAGCTGAATATTTTACTTTCTAACTGGCTGAAAAGGATTTCACAAGATAAAGGTGGTGTAAAAACTGTTATTTTTAATGTAGAAACGTAATTATTTAATGACATATTATAATCACCAATATCCAAACCAATGATTTAGCACTTTAGTTACTCTAAATATAAGAAAATACCCGATCTTGGTGAAATATTATTAAACATTAGATGAGTCTTCACAAATGGATTTTTGTACATAGATTATTATTAATATGCTTGTTAAAAGCTACAAACTATGGATAATAAATTAAAGAACATAGTAGCTCCCGTTTAACGGGTTGTCTGTTAATAATATAATTTGTATATGTGTATAGGGTGCTCGCATTAACTTACGCTTACTTTCAAATTGCTAATTGTCACTTTGGGGCCAGTTGTGGGGAAAAATAAGATGGAAAGATCGCATTTCATTGATGCAATTCTTAGAGAAGTGGTATTTTGTTTTGATTATAAATTTTCTGAGTCAACATCATAATGTCTTTGTTTTCGTATTAATGGAAAAGCAGACTTTTAATAAGGCATGGATACATAATAATTTGTATCACCGAGGCAAAAACAACGGAAGTTGAAGGATAACTCTGAATTTTTGTGCAACTATTATACTAATAATACTAATAACTTGCGTGAAAAAAGGTATTTGACGAGATTGAAGATAAATATGAATATGGAATAATTTTATTAAAAAAGAAGTTTAAAAACAAATAACAGTGGCTATAGATTTTATAAGTTGGCTTTTTAACTCAGTTTTAAATAATCTGAGACAGAAAGGTGCACAACTTTGTGGGTAATTTCCAAAGGACAATCAGTTTTGCCAGCATAGTCCACTACCAACTGCCAATTTGTTCGGGAGATTGCTTTATTAAATGCATCATCTGACCCATTAACTGCAAAGATAAATCGAGGAATACCTCCCCATTTTGTAAATAATGAACGAAGATTGTCTATGCTTATATTAGGATAACATCGTTCACAACAGTCCATTAATTCATCAATAGACCATGTTGGCATATAGAAACATTCAGGTAAGCTTGGCAAATCTTTCCTATCATTATCATCCCATTTCATAAATTCTTTTCTGATACTCTCCCTAGGGGAAGAAATTAGAACTGATCTTGCTCTTGCATAACATGGTTTTACTCCATCACAGATGTACCAATTGTCCAAATTTTCCAATTCTCTTATTGAGGCAGATTTTCCAGCTTGGGTAGCTTTTCCATTTTGACAAATGTATAGGGTATCTGGATTACGAACAGTTTGAATGACAACTGTATGATTTCTCTTGATCAATTCAGTAATAAGAAAATCACCAAAGCATGTTTTGCTACAACCAGGAGTTCCACCAATATAGACACGAGGACTTTCACAATTCAACACAAGTTGAAGAAGTTGATGCCAGCAGGGTCGGATATAAAGTTTTGATTTCCGGCTGAGAAAAAATTTTCCTTGCACCAGATTGATAACTTGGTTATTTTCTGTCACATTTGAAACATTCTGAAGAAATTCAATAAGCACATCATAAATGGCTTCAGAAATGACTTCAATAAAAAGTATTAGTATAAAAATTTATCAGAAATAGTCAATGTAAGTTAAAATGTTATTAATGAAATAAAAAGTATTAGTATAAAAATTTATCAGAAATAGTCAATGTAAGTTAAAATGTTATTAATGAACATGACATGATTTTAAAATAGAATGAAAGATGAAAAAATACATAAAGCACAAGTTAGTTAAAGTTGTAAAAAATATAAATAAATAAATGAAATGGAATGAATAGAAAATAACTTTTTGTATATTCTTTCCTTTTATTGATTCTTTGGATAAAGTTAAAGGTATACAATATAAACCAAGATCAGAGAAACAACTTGTTATAGCATTGCATTGTGGATTGACTGCAGTTAAGTTATTTTTTTGTTTCATATATTTTATTATCATACACAACTAGATAGAAGAAGCCATGCACCTGAAATTTTTAGTGGAAATCATGACAAAAGTGTTGATATTTGGTCCATTGGACATCTGGTATTGGAAACTTCTGTGAAATCAAAACTATTAATTGAATATGCAGAAAGAAATTTGATGATAAAGGATTATAAAAAGAGACCAACAGCCAAAGAAGCTTTAGAATGGCTATGTAGCAGATACAAAGACATTCTGCCAGCAGAATTTTTTATTAGTAAATATTAAATGGTAATGCATAATGATTCTTTTAATTTTATCAACACTCTTCCTAACTCTTCTCTTGACCATATCTCTCAATATAATCGAAATAAAATTAATATAATGAATGTTGACAAAATGATTGTAAACACAACCAATATTTAAGATATACGATTAAGACAAAACATGAACAATGTATGAAAAAATCAACAAATTTATTTAATAAAAACCGAATTTACAACCCAAAAAATGGGTTTTTGCATGTTCTAATAAAATTTCCATTGTTGTTGCATCATCTATTGCTGATTAAACGTTACCCAGATCATCATCAACTGTATTTTCATTATTTTCAATAAACTCATTTTCATTTAATCTTTTTGTCATACTTTCTTTTAGTGCATTGAGAATTTTTTTGATTTCGACTTGAAGATATCAAACATTTAGATTGGCACCTTTGTAGACAATGATTGCGATAACCATGTCCACACACAAGTACACTGCAATTATTCAAATTAGTATAGTTAGTGTAATCACAATATATGCAATTGCAAAAAATTTTTGTAGATGGTTTCCTAGAAGTAACAAAGCCTCTTGTTCAGTTATTTCGTAAACTAAAGAAGGCAATTTGTATGGGTTAATATCATTAGATGAAGTTTTAGTAATCAAAAAATGCTGATTTCATGCTTGATATATCTTTGTAAACACATCTAAAAGCAAATACAGCACACTTTCGGGAAAGCATATGCAATTGCTTTGGTGTATATGGATAATTCATAGAATCTATGAAATGTTGTCAAAAAGTATTATCCTTTCTGATGCTGAAAAATAAAACGTGCCTCCTTTTTCAGTTGTTGTGCAGTGAAAAACTTAGCCATATGTCATCAAATAATGCTGTGAATGATTTCTACAGAATTATCACTTAAAGAGGCAAGATAATTAGTAACCATATCAATCATTGGATGACTTGTCTCCATCTAATAAAAGACACCAGAAAAAAAAAAAATCAAAAGATGCACACTTATAATTTCTTCAA